CTCGCTTGTTCAAATTGAATTCATAGATCTTGACGGTGCAGAACAGCCCTTCAAGCATTGCTCTAAATTCGTCCTGACCGACAACGATAACAACCGAGGCCTTAATTTTGTTGGATTGAATCGAATCCCATTGGAACTTATCGATATCAATTGTGTTTGAGTTTCTCCTGAACTGACTTCGGAATTCGTGTTTTCCTTTTTCACAGAACAGTTTCTAACGTCCTGCATTTACAATTAAACAAATAAATAAATAAAAATTAGGAGGGCTAAGAGTAAAGCGTTCGCACTATACAGTTAGTTACAATCTGCTAGTTGAAAGCACTTAAAGAACGAGAAAATCTTAAAAAGTAATGCTAGAGGGGACATCGCCGACTGAAGGATCAACCCAGCACACGGTTAACAAGACTTGCTCGGAAGTCGAAAAACGTAGCGAAATTGCTTTGTTTCAACCGCATTAGAATTATTAATCAAAATTCACCAATATAAACTCAATAACAACGAGATAGAAATTTCTCAGAATGTTTGGATTCTCACCTGCGCATCTGGTAAGCACGTGAACAGCAGCAATGAAAACTCGTCTAATATTGTCTCCTCCACAAAAGGCAGTTTATTTGTCACATTATCTTTCGACTGAAAGCGTAACTTCGTTANNNAAGAAGAGGCTTTATCGTAGTGAATACACCCGATGAAAGTGAGTACTTCACATCATGATTGTAAATTAAAATAAAACAAGCAATAAAAACAATGTAGCCACGTTCAGAGCTTCATACACATAAAGCCTTCAGTCTTAAAAGGTATCAACATGGGAGATAAGTACCCCTTAACCAGGCCGAGTAGGGAAGGAAGGAAACAAGGTAAGAGAGGAAAAAGGGGGTTACGGTACGACTTGGTTTGGACATCACATTTTCGAGAAAAATTGCGATATGGATCGATTTCGGTCTCTCAGAAAATTTATGAAATTATCAACTTTTTCAAACAGTGGACAAGGATGAAGCCCGTGAGGTCAGCAATAGGTCGACAAAATCGAAAACAGCAATTCCAGAGAAAGACAAAACAAACAATAAAACTATTGCTCATATATTAAATATGAAAAAACTTGAAATACAAAAAGTAAAAGGTTGAAACAAATGTTGTAAAATACTTACATCTTCAGTTGACTCTTCTTTAGACACCTCTGAACTATCTGTTGAGGATGTCGCACCATTCTCCTTATTTTCTTCACCCGTTTTTTCCTTTGTATTCTTAAACTTCTATTTCATCAATTCCAGAATCTAATGAAAAAAAGTATAGTAACTTTGCTTACATCACATTCCCCATTTTCAAGCAATATTACGCTTGAACCCGATCCAGAATCACTACGTTCATCTGAGACCTCTTCCTTAACGCCGTCACCACCTTTCGACGTAGATGGCTTCTCCTCATCACAGTCGACTATTTCCTCCTTTACTTCACCTTCGGGTTGAACCGATGCAAATTTCGGGAGGCTAAGAGCACCTGAAATCAATGGGTTATGGCTCGGGACTGAATTTTGTTCGTATGTATTTCTTTACACATCAAATACGCTCAAAATGCACCTCAATGCATTCCAGCGATGAGCAAACGTGGCAGATTTGCATTCGTCTTTTTTTGCACCACAAGTAAAGAAGCCATAAACGGGTCCAGAGAAAATCGTAAAGGAAATGAGGAGAACAACGAGGTGTTTTTAAAGGTACAGCCGCGCCAACATTGAAATTAAAGTAACGCAATCACGAAATATAAGGCAATAGAAAAAACCAAGCATTGAAAATATAAACAAACTCGAAAACAGAAAAGACTTACCTAGGTAAGCTGCCGTATGCGGACATGCCACATCATGCAAAACAAATTTGGGTGGCGGCGGAGGTGGCGTGGGAGCTACAGTTCGCAATGGCGGCCTACCAACACCCCGTCCACGTGTACTACCGGACGAGTGATAGCCATTCGGACGGGTTCCACCCCCTGCTGCTGTGGACGTTGCACCACGTCCACGACGAGGTTTTCTGAAAAAAATCTCACTAAAATTCCATTTTCAGTGATATCCGAAAAGGTTTCAAATCATGAGTGGAAACAAAACTAAACAAAAAGTGAATCAAATGTTTTGAGGAGAATCCTTATTTACAGAATGGTTTCCAATTCGACTACGGTGGCGCCTACCAGTATTCTAAGTGAAGTGCTGTTCTTCTCTGGTAAAAAGGAGAACGAAAAGTTACTCCCAATCCGGTTATGCTACTCTGCCTTGGTTCGTTTGCTCTTCCCTGTTGTACTATGTAAATTACAGTCGCATGTGAGCAAATATCCTCACAACGAAATCCAGTTACTAGGAAACTACCAACTTAAACCTAGTTTTGGTCTAACTAGAGCCACCCATAGGGTAAGGAGCTTCGAAAAGAGCCATTATGTTCAGTGATTGGAAAAAAGATATCCCACGAGCAAGGTTTAGACGGATGGTGGAGCCAAGAATATTATGTCTTCACCAGTACGGTCTCTTTGAACGTAAGAAGAGAACGGCTCGTTGTTAATTTCGGGAAGAAACATCCGACAAAATAAGTTAGATTACATGACTAAATAAATTAAACTAGTTAAATTAAATGAGTTGATTAAATTAATTAAAGAATTTTAGGTGAGGGACATAGCAACGTTTCCCTTTACTATCCTAACAAGATAGTTATTCATGTTTTCTTCAACTCCGCGTTTATCCCAGAGCCACGGCAAGAAGGGACAAAACCAAGTAAAAAGTATGTTCCGAAAAATTGTGATGTTAAGATTCATGAACCTCCCACACTCAGCAACCATGACTCATTCACGCTGATTAGATTGCTCCACTTTCTGGCTGACAACTGTGGAACTTTCGCCAAGTTCTAATCTAAATAAATTCATTTTTACCCCACTGAAAAATTTTTTTCTCACGAACTCCTAAGGGAATTCACTAGCCCTGCATAGAAGGAAGTGGAGTCTTCTACCGAACATTGAGACAAACCACTTCCTTCATCTTAGACAATACTCCTCGTTAATATAGGGCATCCAGCATCATATTACTATTCCTAATTTGATAAAACACAATCAAACACTTTAAAAAACAAGTCTGGCCAGATTCGCTTGAAATGAAAAAGCATAATTGAAAAACATAAACAACGGCAGAGAAGTATAAAGGGTAAAAAGCAACTTTGAAATGAACTTACTTAAACGGCAGTGGTGTCTTGAAGCACGCATCATCAAATGCTGGTTGTTGCTTGCTGCTGCTCGGAGCGGATTGTGTCGAAGGTGAAGCGGTCAATAGTGACGAGGACATCGAAGACGACTGAAAACAGCAAGCTATTAAGACGATCGCCGAATGGCGCAATTCCGCACGTCATACGTTTAGAATGACATGCGCATTTTTTTTGGGGTCTAACCACGCACGAACATCCATCAAATAATGTATGCAGACGAAGAGAATTCAATCAAACAACAATTTGATTGTCATAAATTTCTAGTGAACATGAAACTTCTCATGAAATAACTTTGAAAACCCAAAATCAAGAGAGTCCATTAGGGAGCACTACAAACAGGAAGGTTATCCCGACCCAACACCGAATACGTAATACAAACACAGCAAGCGATTCATCAGATCTTGCAATTCCCATTTTCCGGGCCAAGGGTTATCAGAAAGAATTTGGGGGTATTTTTCAAAAGAGCTATTCTTCAATAGCAATTGAATGAGATATTTTTTAACAGTCTATTTGCAAACAATTTTACATTTCGATTCTTCACTTGATAGAAGACAACGGCTGGATTTTCTTCAAATGGCCCGAAACAGAAATTTGGAAATCGAGGGACACAGAGCTCTGGAGGAAGGGCTGTGTAGTAGTCGAGTTACTCGCAGTACGGTAAGAAATGAGATATTCGGAAATTCGATCAATATGCATCAAACATGTTATCCATGCAATGGAGGGCGCACGAAAACATAAAAGTTCCGGCAAGGAATGCGACGATAGCGACTACTTCCTCTGTGTCCCAAGTGTAAGCGACCATTTGACGGCTGAAGAGAGGATAAGTTGCTTTCAAGCAAATAAACAAAACAGAAATAAAGCCTTCGTTTTGCATCATTTCGTGGCCAATATCATTGTTCGAGACTGCAAACAAGACAAAATGGAACGAGTGCTTTTTACCGTGAACTTTCGTCTCCACCGTTCCTTGCCCTTAGTGGAAAGTCTCAATGGAATTGATATGCATCTTAAACGGCGAAAAGTGTGCCGAAAAGGCCCAATTTTAGGAAGTCCTACGAAAAAATAAAAAATCAGTACATTTTTAGGCTAAAGACCTAATCCGTAGACAACCCTTCATAGAAGCTTCAAGAGCAAAAACCTAATGCTACAGCCTCAAAAGAATAATTGAAGAAAATAGTTTTAAATTACAAAAAAATCTTTAAAAGAGTGGTCACATTTTCCTACCAAATCGATATGAAAATGAACCTATCCGATAAAGTTCACAGATCAAGAAACATTCCAGCAGGGCCATCAAACCATCAATGATCGATTGTGATATGATAATAACTTGAAAGCCTCCCAACAAAGCAGTCTATGGACAAGAGGTTGGGCAAATAAAATTAACGTTTTTTCAAACTGTCCTTTAAACAAAGAACAGAGTTGAATAAGCAGGGCATTAGAGCTTTGCTGTAATATTATGCAATGAAAAAACCAACCAATGAATCAAATCATCCGTAAAGTCTCAGCAGTAACAGTAGTCACGTAGGAATAAGTAAATAAACACATGACTAAAGCATACACGTACTGGAGGGTAAACATATCGACTATCAGCAAAAACCAGTGGGGCATGGAATCACCTCGCAAGTATGTTCTACAGCGAGAACCTTCTCTGGGAATATACAAAACCATCGAAGCTATCCCGCGACTTCCAATCTCAAGAAATTTACAGCAATAGAACGCCCTTCACTGCAGCTGATCGTTCTATTGTATATGCGTGAGCGAAGTTCGCAAACCAGTTCGAAGGTCGAAGACTGGACTTCTAACAATACCAGGAAACCAAAAACAAGGAAACTGAGGATCATAACCATCGATGAGAGGCAAAAGGCTCACAGTTCAGTTACTGAAGATAAAAACATCACCCAGAGTACTGCACTAGGACTAGCAATAGCCAGTTCAAGCTGTGAGCTCTCTCAATGACGAATAAACAAAAGAATCGAAGTCTGAGCGATAAGGAGCACAACTTCCCACTTCCCTTCCTTCTTGCTGACTCATAGCGTGATTTTTTTGCACTCATTGTTTGCATATTGAGCAACACCATGACAATATTCGCAGAGTCTCCGTTCTGCTTTAACTTTTCCACTTCCCTAGGGAAAGTCAGGTAGGAATGACGCCCAAGAATTATGCCATTCTTTTCAGAGCTTCCAGTTTTCCTCTCTCTTCGCAAATACTCAACATATTCTCTAGAAACAATTGCACGTAATCATGACATTTAGGAGACGATCAATTGCCTTTCTGTCCTGGTTTCCGTACATGGGAATTCTAGTTGAGGAAAATAAACTCATCCCACTTCCACGATCTTGAGATAAATCTGGAAATGTAAAAGGAGGGGCTCTCTCCCAGGGACTAAAGTAAGAGTATTCATAAATTTGTAGGCTGAAGTAAAAAATGGATCAGAGTAGGTGAAAATGACTCAATGTAGTAGCGCGAATCAAAAAATTGTAGGTGCAACATCTACATAGCGTTTTTATAGTATAAAGCTTAAACCTTTGATTTCATGTACGGCTTTCTATAAACCTCGGCATAATTGTATCATTGAGTTTACTGCTTTCTTGAACTCTTCACGAGGTTTTTAAAGTATTCTTTATTAGGCTGACGTTTCGGCGGAATCACCTTCTTCAGAGCCTGAAAGGATCATAACAAACCTTAAACCTTTGAGACGGGGGAAGGCAAAAATCCTCAAAACACGGGGAAGGTAAAGGCGTGTGACTCTCACCTTACACATTCGCACCACTGCAAACTTTCCACAGTACAATGTACGTGTGTACTTCAACACTTTTAGAGACTTCGGATGTGAAAATAAGAACGGCTCTTGAACTACCGTATAAATATAATACAACCTACAATTCAAACTTCAGAATTACATAGAATAAGAATAATGGTAATAGCTTTTTTCGATTACGACCTGACCAGTAAGGAAAATCGAACTGACGTATCCAGGATGCTGCCCACCCTTGATAGTAACACATACCAATTTGTTATCACGAAATGCTATTCTCAGTCAGGTCAGTAACCACTTCGAGCTTCAAATGAATGGGAGGGGTCCAGATATGTGGGCGAAATAGAACGAAGGTTTAGGCGTGGGATAGTGCAAATGGGATGATTAAGGATGTAATGGTCTAGCAACTGAGAATCAAAATGTTCGGGAAGCAAGAAGTTGCAGACGTCGTTTATTCGTTTCAATCAAAACAGTGCCATTGGAACATTTCCCCACCACCTCACCTTCTCCTCTCTAGACAGCTATCTAAGATCTGAGAGGGATAGGGAGGGAAACGTCATTCCCAGAAGCACAGATGAGAAGATGGCCATCAGAGCGAACCACAATCCTCCGCCATTGCTATCAACAAAGCTCGTTTAGTTCCAGTAGAGGAAAATGACGATAAAGAACTGCGTACTCGCTGAGGAGCACTTGAGAGAATCGAAATCCCAAAGCTGGAAGACGCTTACTCCAAATTACTCGAAATCGGCACAAGGGAGACAAAAAGCTCAATAGAGCTTTGACGGTTTTCTCCAGTGATTCAAGAATCCAACAAGCTCCTGAGACAATCCAGGACAAGCCCAAGTCCAATTCGCTCCTGAGAACCCTTGGTGTGATTCTATAATGATCAACCCAATACTTGCTCATCAATGACATCAATAAAACTAAACGACTCTTCAATGATCGTCCATATGGCGACTTGATTCGAACGCTGCGAATAGAAAAAACACCGTAGAATTTTGAATAACTGGGTCGTAATGTCTGGAAATGTCTTCCGTGCCAAGAATACGCGGAATCTAGCCGAGTGCAATATGTTTTTCCATCAATCATCACTCGCTCTGTGCTATACTACGCTGACACGATGAATTATTGATTCACAAGTGCATAACAACTATGTGTCCGTGTGCAGATGCTAATATCGACCCATAGAACAATCACAGGAAAAACTGGAGTGATGGACACAATTAAAAACGAAGAACCACGTGGTCCTATCGGCCCATCTGACCACACTATCAATGTAATACCGAAAACACATATCAAAATAGCATTTCTACCAGTTTTTGGAGACAAACCGCAACCCAAGGAAGAGATATGTAAAAAGAGCTGGTGGTCCAGAAAGAGAAAAGGAACAGGGTTAGGGCCAAAGAGTTCGCCCAGATGGTGTCTTTTCTCATACGCTTCCATGTTGAACTCTCTGGACTGAAGGAATGCTTACAATCTGCAACGAAATCTAAACTGAAAAGGGAACTTTCCCTCGCAACGATTGGCTCCTCCCTCTTCCAGCGTTTTCTGGGGCACACCGCGCATTGCCATTAATCCCTCACAGCCATTCGCTCCCATACTGCCTTTCTATTCTAGTAGGATCCCGCATAGCTATGCACCAAAAAGGCCATTCGGAGCTGAGTAGGAGCTCACGCCGTGCATTACCAATAGAATCTATCAAGAAAGCTCCTACTGAGATAGTCTTAATGAAAATCACGACCTATCGCTCGAATGATTTCTTGCACAAATGCATGAGAAGAACCTTCCAGTTCTATCCACAGTCAGGGCTAGAACAAAGATAGACGCTACCACTGAAACCTCGGCTTTACGACACAGAATAAAGACAACGACCATCAAACATCAATTCATTAAGATTTGATAAAAAACCAACCCAGCCATTATTCTTTTTCACAAGGATTGTAAACGAGATAAACTGATCAAAATTTGAAGAACTGTCGGTAAAACCGGTGGCCTTTGTGATGTAGTGAAGTCCGGGAAAGAAATGAATCACAAAACCTATCAATATTGACTCATAGTCTGCCCAACCATACTTAATCAACAAAAACGTAATTGCTTCAAACTTTCTTGAAGCAACTCTTTCAACAAGAAGCACTCCTTCTCCCAGGGAAACGGGAGAGCCTTGCAGGTCTCCAGCTTCTAAAGGGGGAAAGAAGGCTTCTGCTGCACGTAAATAGCAAAAACGCACGAAACTCAGATTCAGAATGGTTCGGGAGGCACATCTCTTTAGAGAAAAACCAGGTATTGAAACCTTCAAGGTAACACCCCAATTTTTTGAAGTAGTATCCA